AGCACTGGACTCTGGGCTTAGCAAAGCACTGGACTCAAGTGACGTTTTCACACATTTCAATGTAATCACAAACTTTGATAGAACAGCGGCCCTGTCTAATCATATAATCAGAGAAATAGATTATAATAGGCAACATAACAGTGTAATGTTCCCCATTATAATCCACTTTTCCATTTAAATAAAACAACAGCACAGTGTGCAGTTACACCCGTACCACCCCTCCTCCCCTCCCCCCCCCACAGCTTCAGGCCCCGACAGGGAGCCGCAGCAGAGGGATGAAAGAGCCACATGGAGCCGCGGGTTGCCGACCCCTGAGTTAGACAGAACACCTGATCTGTAGGCTTGTTCTAAGTCATTGACTCAGAAAGCATCAACAAGGTTGACATCGTAGCCAAGCAACTGCCATTTCCAGAGTAGTCCGGCTTACGTATTCCGCTTACTGCAGGGAGGCGGCTTCCTTGACCCCTTAGCAGTGATGCATGCTTTTTCATCAAGCAGCAAAAGACCGGCTTTGATTGGTAGATAGAAACTGGCTAGCAGTTCCCTGTGCTCACCGATCGCAAACTGTTCTGCCGCTGGCCAATTTCTAACAGACTCTCATGAAGAATTAAGAGACTGCAGATGATACAGCAGTGTAAAGTTGGCCAGCAGCAGGATCATTTTACTGAGCAAGGTTAGGCCCAAATTTACTAGTGACAGAGCACAGGCAAGGGTTTCACTACAAGAATGAATAGAACTTCTGAGGATACTGCAGTGTAAAGTTGGCCAGCAGAAGGATCGTTTTACTGAGCAAAGTTAGGCCCAAATTTACCAGCGACAAAGAATCCAGCAGTGTATTAGCCAGCAGCAGGACATTTTAATCAGAGATAATAGGCATAACTGGTATATGCCTAACTTTTTTTTCAATGCTGATGGGGAGTTGCGAATGTGAGTGATATAATGTGATGTGGTTTAGCTCCGCCTATTTTTTTACCAATGCAGGGGCTGCAATGGCACAGTTTTTCAGTGTTGCATTGTGAAAGTTAGGCTGCGGTATGTAGATTCCTACCCACCTGCTATGATTGAGGTGTCAGGGAACGCAGTCACACGTGATGTGAATGTCTGTCTGACCCGAGAGTCTGCGTACCTGCGGCCATTAGCTGTACAAGTTTGCCCGGCAGTAATATAATTTATACACATTTACAATCGGTAAGATCTGTGTGTTTAGAGCTAAAATGTTGTTTGCCGGAATGAGAAATTGCCAGGATGCCGTTACTGCAACAAGAATATCAAGAGGGTCATACGTGTGTGTCTTTATGGGCCCGGGAGTCACGGGTGTCCTTTGTATGTATAATGTATTCTTATTCTAGATTTCGCAGTTTAAGGGAACAACTAACGCAGCTTAACTGAAGGTGAAAATAGCCAAAAGGATGGAGAAGGTGCGGAGTCACATGACTGAGAGGATATTGGACCTCACCCTGGAGATCATCTACCTGCTGACCGGAGAGGTGAGGAGCATTCTGGGAGGTCACATGACATCACTCTTATCTCTATTCATAAAACACAGACCTGACCGGAGAGGTGAGGAGGATTCTGGGAGGTCACATGACATCACTCTTATCTCTATTCATAAAACACAGACCTGACCGGAGAGGTGAGGAGGATTCTGGGAGGTCACATGACATCACTCTTATCTCTAGTAATAAAACACAGACCTGACTGGAGAGGTGAGGAGGATTCTGGGAGGTCACATGACATCACTCTTATCTCTATTAATAAAACACAGACCTGACCGGAGAGGTGAGGAGGATTCTGGGAGGTCACATGACATCACACACCTGACTAATTTCATTAAAACCAAAACCTGTGGGGGAAGCTGAGGGTTATCAGAATCACTTTGTGTGTGTTTTCTATATAAAGGAATTCACTGTAGTGAACAGAAAATCCAACAGCCACAATGGTGTGTCCAACATCCTTAGCAGGAGCAACAGCCCCATCATAGAGCCTCAACCTCCCTCCCAAATATCTGAGAGTAACAATAAGAAAATCCTAGAAGTCACCCAGAAGATCATTGAGCTGCTGACAGGAGAGGTGAGCGGTGCCGGGAATTCTGGGACATGATCCAGGAACATGCAAGAGATGTGTCTGGATGGTGACTGTATCATTGTGTGTGTCAGGTTCCTATAAGGTGTCAGGATGTCTCTGTCTATTTCTCCATGGAGGAGTGGGAGTATCTAGAAGGACACAAGGAGCTCTACAAGGACGTCATGATGGAGAACCGGCCGCCCCTCACATCACCGAGTAAGAGGAGACTTTCATTTCTTGAGTATTGAGGATCCCCCTAGATACACACATCCTCTGATATAAAGACATAGAAACATTGTACTCAGTCAGTGTGTGTGTTTCCTACAGATGGGTCCAGGAAAAGGAATACCCCAGAGAGATGTCCCTGTCCTCTGTATTCCCGGGATTCCACACAGGAACATCAGGAGATCCCTCAGACCCGTCCTCTGTATTCCCGGGCCTCCACACAGGAACATCAGGAGATCCCTCAGGAACATCAGGAGATCCCTCAGACCCGTCCTCTGTTTTCCCTGGATTCCACACAGGAACATCAGGAGATCCCTCAGGCCCGTCCTCTGTATTCCCGGGATTCCACACAGGAACATCAGGAGATCCCTCGGGAACATCAGGTAGATGGAACCTAGGGTCTAAAATAAAGTGATGAACTAAAACTACTGTGCCTTGTTAATGTTTTAAATTGATAACCACCAATTACAACTACAAAATGTAGTAATAAGAATATTATGCAACTTATTTAGGGTGAAGGCCTGATTTTTGTAAAAATTGAAGATGAAGAAGAGCCATATTTGATGGGTGACAATCCATGTAAGGAGGAGGAAATCCCTCCAGAGATCAGCACAGGTGAGTAATAAACACTAAATCCAGAAAAGAGTCCCAGATTCTCCTTGTTCAGTCACTACAACAATCTCTTCTCCCCCCTCCTCTGTCAGTAGGCAGTAATGGGGGGACAGTATGTGCCCCATCGGGTAATCAGGAGCCATCTGCCTCTCTTACAGTGCTGCATTCCCATCCTGTTATTTTGTGGTGCCAGTCAAGAAGCTCAATAGGTGCCAGCCCCGGAAATGATACAGTTACACAAGGAAACGTCAAAGTCAGGGAGGCCAATGAAAGATCTGTAAAGATTAAAGAGGAGGAGATACCTTCAGAGATCAGCCCAGGTGAGGAATAAACACTAAATCCAGAAAAGAGTCCCAGATTCTCCTTGTTCAGTACCTACATCATTCAATGTTCCATAATTACATGACATATTCTGGTCATAAACCTCCCCGTAGTCCCTTCGTCTGCTCCCTCCTGTCTAGAATAGTGATTGTGGGTCTATTTGTTCTTAAATTCTCCTCTTGTACTCACAGACCTCGAAGGCACTATGTTGGCTTGCAGAGACGTCAAAGCTGAGGAGGAGGAAGAAGGACACGTGAGGATCAAAGAGGAGGAAGTTCCAGAGATCAGCAAAAGTGAGTAAAACACTAAAACCAGAAAAGAGTTCCAGATTCTCCTCCTCCGGTGACACAATGAACTCCAGATTTTGGTTAGAGAAGGGAAGGATTAGAGTATGTCAGGTTACTGAGAGCACCACACCAAAGGTTTAGGAGTCCAAGAGTATGTTCTCCTCCACCATAAGTCCAAGGACAACAAGCCAACGCATTTCAGTGGTTATAGGGTTCCAAGTTCATTAGAGCTTCAACTGCTGGTTTGAATTGAGCATTATACTTGTATGAGTTAATAGAGGAGGACTTCAATTCTGGAATGAACCGGCTCCTTTTTTCCCCCCAAAAGCACGCTTATACAGGAGTAACACCAACAGCTACAGAAGCCGGTTTGAGTCCAGCACGTGGTCCAACCCAGCAGTTTAAACCCTGATGAAGGGGGAACCGTAAAAAACCCCAAACTGGTGTCTTTGGACCTCTATAAACTAGACAATACTCTTGGATTCACCTTTGGACCTTTAGTAGATATTACTTTTGGACTGTGGTCTTGTTTTCCCTACACCTTCTGGCATACCTCCCAACTTTCCTAGATATGAAAGGGACAAATTCTGGCATCCCTCCCAACTTTCCGAGTTGAGAAAGAGGGACGCCTTCTGGCATACCTCCCAACTTTCTGAGATGAGAAAGAGGGACGCCTTCCGGGATACCTCCCAACTTTCTGAGATGAGAAAGAGGGATTAATTCCGGCATACCTCCCAACTTTCCGAGTTGAGAAAGCAGGACAAATGCCGTCATACCTCCCAACTTTCCGAGATGAGAAAGAGGCACACCTTTCAACCTAATGTATTTCTTACTTCCTGTTCTACCTGTCAAAATATGAGTTGGGAGATTTTTCCTCGCTTTGTGTTCTGTAGTGGAGATTCTGTTCTGTCTGACACCTATCAGACAGGAAGTAAGTGAGTCACAGACAGCAATAGAAAGTTGAGAGGTGGTCTTACCCTACCCCTCTTTATCCAAAACTGAAAAAAAAAATCTTTGGCGGGGGTCAGCCTTTAAAGATTTCGATTCTGTTCCCGAGAGCTATGCACTGAACTCCACATGGAAAGGACAAAGGTCTGGAATAACTCTGTTTCTCCCTGTCTCTTATTCCCTCTAGGTGGTCATCACGGAACGTACAGTATGGAGAAATGCTCCAGTGTCCCTTTAGATGGTGAGATGGAAGATGATGACATCACATCCAACTCTTCAGAAGAGAATCCCGTTACTCCAGACCTCCGTCCAGCAATTCCCAATGCAGATCTGTCATCTGACCCCTCCACATATGCCGGTTGGCCTCTTGACCACTCGTACTCGGTCATTCATCACATTACTTGCGAAGGGGAGTTGTTCCCCTGTTCTCAGTGCAAGAAATGTTTTACTATTAAGTCAAGTCTTTTCCGGCACCGACAGATCAAACACACGGAGAAGAAGCTGTATTCGTGTTCCGAATGTGGAAAATGCTACACGTATAAGTCACGGCTTCTCCTACACGAGAGGGTCCACACGGGTGAGCGGCCGTTTGCTTGCACCGAATGCGGCCGGACCTTTGCTAAGAAGTTTACCCTTGATGCCCACCAGAGGATCCACACAGGCGAGAGGCCATTCTCCTGCTGCGAATGCGGGAAGGGCTTCGTACAGAGGTCCTCCCTGGTGGAACATCAGAGAACTCACACGGGACTGAAGCCACACGCCTGTTCGGACTGCGGGAAGTGCTTCAGGCAGAGGTCGGAGCTTCACAAACATCGGAGGGCTCACGCGTGGGTGAAGCCATATTCGTGTCAGGAGTGCGGGAGGACCTTTTCGCTGGAGGCGGCTTTCCTGTTCCATCAGAAGGAGCACAAGGACAGGAAGCTGCATTCCTGTTCACAATGCGGGAAAAGCTACGCGTACAAAGTAGACCTCGGCCGGCACATACTATCTCACACTGGCGAGCGGCCGTTTGCTTGTGATGAGTGTGGGAAGTGCTTTACTAAGAGATCCACCCTCAACGAGCACTCGAGAATTCACACGGGAGTGAAGCCATTCGCATGCATCGAATGCGGCAAGCGGTTCATCCAGAAGTCCTCCCTCGTAGTCCATCAAAGGTCTCACACGGGAGAGAAGCCGTATTCTTGCTCGAAATGCGTTAAGTGCTTCAGGCACCGGTCAGATATGCTTAACCACGAGAGAACACACACGGGGTGAAGGCACCTTCTTGTCTGTAGGAGGTCATTGTTCACTGAGGACGTGTCTTGTTCTCGACCTAAGAAGACACAGTGACGAGTGAACACACACGGGTGAAGGTACCTTTTTGTCTGTAGGAGGCCATTGTTCACTGAAGACATGTCTTGTTCTCGAGCCCAGAAGACACAGTGACGAGTGAACACACACTGGGTGAAGGCACCTTTTTGTCTGTAGGAGGTCATTGTTCACTGAGGACATGTCTTGTTCTCTACCCAAGAAGACACAGTGATGAGTCAATGGGGCTCATCGGTTTGAAAGGCTTTACTAGTGAAGCCAACCTTGCTGAGCGGATTCATGTAAGGTGGTCATCATGCTACGCGCCGGAGAGGCTTTTACTAATACGATCTATTATGAGGGTCCATACAAGTGATCGTTTGTGGTCAGTGTCCGGAGTGTGGCCTACGGCTCTCAACGAAGTCCTGAAATTAAGCCCCATGTCCTATATCGGTGACAGCTCCACCCCAAAGCTCTTGTACAGTCATCCCAAGGACAGGAAGTGAGGGAAAATCTCTCCAACATCAGGCAACAAGTAAAAACTCCACTTTACTTTTTGAATGGGTTATGAAAACACAATTCCTGTTGGGGGCCTTGTTGAGGAGATCTACCCTCACTTCCTGTCCTGGTGACATCGCGGTCATCAGAACAGGAAGGGAAGGAAAAGATCCAGCAGGGACACACACAGCAATACAAGCTATTTTTTCAATGGAAAGAGAAGGCTAAAGCCCTGCCAGCCTTGTATTGCTGTCTCTGAACCCACGGGCCATTTCTTCTCACTTCCTGTCTTGGTGCCAATAGAGTCACCAGGACAGGACATGAGGAAAATTCTGCTCAGGGAAGCCTTAGACAGCAATTAAATACAAGAGGGCCCCACACCCATCCATTTCCTTGAGTCTGTTTGGTCCCAGTGATGTCACCACTGGGTCTCTGTGCTGCTCTGTGCAGGTGGATCTTGGCTGGTAGGAGGGTCTAGCGGGGTGCTATGATGTTTTAGGGAAGCTACAGCACCCTACCGGCCCCTCCCACCAGCCACGATCTGCCTTCATAGAGAAGCACAGAGACCCATTGATGACTCAGTACTCCTATCATGACCCCTTAGCCCTGATGCAAGCAGTGGGCTGGCTCTTGGGAGGAGTTATGCAAATAGGAAAATACAGGCATGGGTGGAGGTCAGTCTGGAGGAGTGGGGGGTTCCAAGGCAGATTGTATCTGCATGCAGACCGCTCAGCCTGGAAATGAGGCGGGCTCTATCTGACTTGCTGCAGCTTTTAATGCACACGGTGAGAAGCTCAAAGTGTGCAGCGACATCAGAGGCAGACATTTCAGTCAAGGAGAGGAGCCGGTACAACTGTGCCAGACTGAAGGCCGGAGGTCATATACAAGACTGAAGGGAAGGACAGAGGTCAGATAGAAGACTGATGGGAAGGCCGGAGGTAAGATATAAGACTGAAAGGAAGGCCGGAGTTCACATACAAGACTGATGGGAAGGCCGGAGGTCAGATAGAAGACTGAAGGGTAGGCCGGAGTTCATATTTAAGACTGAAGGGATGGATAGAGGTCCGCTATAAGACTGATGGGAAGGCCGAAGTTCATATACAAGACTGAAGGGAAGGACAGAGGTCAGATAGAAGACTGAAGGGTAGGCCGGAGTTCATATTTAAGACTGAAGCGAAGGACGAAGCGTTAAACTATAAAGGGATATTTTCATCACTAGGTAGATTTAATCAGCTGTGTGTGTAATCTGAGCTCCCTGCTAATCTGAAATATGGGCATAATGTAAATAAAAAATTTATTTTTAAAAACTTGTTTCTTTAATATGGAACATAAACAAAGAAAGAAAACATTCATATTTATAATATAAAAGCATAAGTTCCTTGCAATTCAACAGCAAGTGGTTTACTTCTCCCATTAAGACATTCCTTCAACCAGAACGCTCCGCGGTGGGCCCACATTTGACCTCTGCCCTTCTTCGCTGTAATTCAATGGATGATCCAACTGCCAAAGCATTCCAGCAAGCAGTCATTGTACAAAAGTGTGGGTTTGTCCCTACGAAGGGGGTGGGGCCAAGAATGCTCCGGCCTATCACATAGTGAAGAGAATTGTCCGTAAGAGACATCCTGGCCCGTCGGCCTTTCCTTAGAGCAGTTCCCGCTTATATGCCAGTGTCCATGGAGAGCTAGTGCAGGCAGGATGGAGCTTGTCAAACACTCACTTGAATCACTAATGATGTCAGCACTTTCATAAAACTTTATTGTTCGTGATGTGCACACTGGATGCCTCATCTGGGACCAACCTTTCCCCCTTGACATGTTTCACGCCAAAGATGGGCTTAGCTGTAGACATGGGAAGGAGCAGGAAGGAAAGACTATTAGTCCTTCCTTCCCCATCTTCATACCTAAGCCCATTTTTAGGGTGAAACACATCACCGGTGGGAGGTCCCAGCCAAGGCTTTCTGTGTACATACTTGGAACAATAAAGTTTTATGAAAATGTTTTGGTTATGCACAATGAAAACCACATCTTCGACCTCCCTGACATGTTTAACCCCATAGATGAGCTTTGTCGTAGGGATGGAAAAGAGTAGAATGGAAGGACTATCAGTCGTGCTCCTCCCCTTTTTTACAACTAAGACCATCTTTAGGGTGAAACAAATCACTGGCGTGAGGTCCCAGCCAGGGCTTTCAGTGTGGATAATTGGAACAATAAAGTTTAATGAAAATGTTCTGGATATCCACACTGAAACCCACGTCTTGGACCTCCCCCTCTCTCTGACACGTTTTACCCCATAGATGAGCTTAGTCGTAGGGATGGAAAGGAGCAGGATGGAAGGACTATTAGTCCTGCTCCTCCCCTTTTTTTACAACTAAGCCCATCTTTAGGGTAAAGCACATCACCGGGGGGGAGGTCCCAGCCAGGGCTTTCAGTGTGGATAATTGGAACAATAAAGTTTTATAATAATGATGACGACATCATCAGCTGGTCTTTGTGAATCAGCCCTCCCCTGAGCATCGTTGAGCATTGATGAAGAGCCTACAGGCCCAGGAACCATCACCAATCCATCCTAGCCAAAGGGCCACCTTCCTGCATTACGTGCTCCCCAGAGACTTCTCTCTCAGGTGACGCCTCTGATGCAGGACCAGCTGACCCCTGCAACGGTAACACCGACCGCACTCCAAGCACAGGAACAACATCTCCGGTCGGTGCGTCTTTTTGTGGGCAAGAAGGTCGCCGGTGCTTGGGAACACCTGGCCGCATTTGGCGCAGCTGACGGTGAACTGCTCCGAGTGGGTGACCTCGTGGGCCACCAGATGGGCTGTCCGTAGGAAATACTTCCCGCACACCAAACACTGGAGCGTCTTCCTTTTGGAGTGCGTCCGCGAGTACTGTGTGAGGTTGGCGATGTCGCCAAATGTGGCATTGGGGGGATTCTGGTAGATGACTTCTATCTCGCTTGAGTTGGGTTGAATTGCAGAGGGCTGGTCAGTTACAGAATCACTCCTGGGGACTGCGGCATGAGGCCCATCATGTGAGATGGGATCCTCCTTAATGAGAACGGTGATAATTCCATCATCTTCTGAGAGCACCTCAACATAATCAGCTGTACATTGTGCAGGAGCGGATGGTGTAGACTTATCCACGTGAGGGAGATGTTCCTTTGGTGATATGGGATCCTCCGGAGCCAAAGTTTTCTCCATACAAGAGTCTGGCTCTCCATTCTTAGAAACTGTTATGTAGTCTAAGGTGGGGGATGGGTGGCCTTTGTCATGCCGATGGGGTTCTGACAAAGCAGTAATCTCTTCTTCCTGGTCTTCTTTCTTACAAACTGCAGGGCCATCAATGGTGTTGGTGGCATCTCCATCTGTGAAAACAATGAAACAAGAGTTGAAGCCCATCTCCAGTGATTGGGAACACAGGAAATAGACCTTGCTGGGGGCACGGAAGAGGTGGACCTTGCTGGGGGCACGGAAGAGGTGGACCTTGCTGGGGGCACCGGAGAGGTGGACCTTGCTGGGGGAATAGGAGAGGTGGACCTTGCTGGGGGCACAGGAGAGGTGGACCTTGCTGGGGCATATAAGCAGTGTGAGACTTGGGGCACTGCTTGCTAGTCTCAGAAGTTTTGGGGATGTTGGCAATGTTCTGCTCACTGTTCTCCTTGCTGGAGTCTCTGACATAAGAAAGCAAAGCCCTGCCTCTACCAAGATGGCCGCCTCCACACAGAGCAGTACAAGGCATGGTGATAGGGGAAAGGTCAGTTGTAGGGAGACCACAGACAATACTGGTGACTAGTCCTGTGTCCCCTGCCCAGCTTTTTCTGGGCACAACTTCCAAAGCTTAGTTCCTCTTTAGTTTATTCCAGTCACATATATGTAAGATACGTGATTTTGGTTTTGGATTAAGTTGAGAAGGATTAGAACCCCTAATAGTTGTTTTATTTGCTACCTGTGTCCTCGTTGGCCACCAGAACAGAACGTGATGGGAAATGCAAATGTTTACAGATGTCACCACCCAAGACTTTATGGAGTCCCAAGAGACCCAGAGCAGCCTTGGCCACCCCTATGGGGAAATGTTGGAATGTTCCATTGAACAAGGCTTGTGGCCTTTTGTATTCTCTCTCTTCCCTTTTCCCCTCCTCCACTTTTTTCCCCCTTGGAGTTTCTTCTCCACTGGTACTGTGAGCATTTTGTGTTCCTTGGTGCAGAGACACTCAAGGTCTCTGCTGTTTGGTCTTGGAACTGGAAGCTAGCAATACACGTTCTACCCAACGCTAGATGGTTATCGGGACGCAAGAATGTCTAGGTGACTACTACACATCAGGAGCTACGCTCCCCGAGATACCAACACTCTTACCGTTCGGAAGGTGGCTATGGGCCGGGCCATGTAACTGAAGACCTTGAGGCGGTGCCCCTGGTGCGCGAGTCTGGTCACCACAACAGGAAGGGAGGTAGGTGGGGGAGAAGACACCTA